AACGCCAATCTCAGTCGGCGGTCGGCACGTCGTTGAACTCTGAAAGCACCCACTGACGGATTCGACAAGCACCAGCTCTATGTGCTCCCAATGTTAAATCCGACTCGATTGTTGGTTTTTCAAAGTATTCAGACAAGTAAGAAGGCGGTGTAGATGAATCATTCAGACATCAACTTCTCTATGTGCCAAAGTTGTGTGTCCGACAGAGTACATGTGTGACAACAACACCGGGGCATGCCGGAAATTCAGGTTATTCACCACTCTTAACATTCTTACTATTTCCTTCCATTGTGCAAAAACTATGAAAGGTAATTACTCCTACAATTTCGTGAAATTGCGATGGCTCGCGCTTTTGAGCAGCTCGTGAGCATAGCATAGCATAGCTTGAAGCCAAAAATTAAAGTTTTTCTGCTACCATACTTTGAAAACAGGGCATAGGGCACACGGAAATTTCACTATGTTATTATGGCAGAGGCAAAAATGAATCGCTAGTAGCTTTGAACTTCGCGACTATTGTCTGAGAAGCTGATCTCGCTTACTTAAAAGCGGCAAGGATGTTCCCATAGCAGCACTTAGACTACGCGACTAATCCACAATAACTACAAATCAGTCTTTTTCCCCGGATTACCGACCCGTTGAGTAACCACTCGCGCTTAGGCTTGGAAAAGTAGAAAGCATGGACTAGAGCTCTCTCTGGCCTTTTCGTCTAGCCCAGTACGACGATCATATCGGATTGTCAACATGTCTTTACTTTTCGGGACCTACAAAGATTGTAGGAATTTAATAGTGCTTAACGAAGGGATAGGTCGTCTTTCTAAAATTTGTTCGTTGCCATCGTCACAGAAGGCTTTCTTGGGCTCCCAGTTACTTGTTCCAAGGGCCTGGTATCTCCTCCCAGACGGCGTGTCGCGCTCACTGCTTTTGATCGCGCGCTATGAAGGGAAAACTTGGGATTCCCAGTGGAAGGATGCGGCAGTCGTCGAGGCGAGGAACCACTGCTGCTGGCCGTGGGAATCTGGGGAAAAGTTCCGGTAAACATTACGATCCTTCCTATTGCATTTTCTTTGCAGGATCTGAGATCTAATAAAGGAACGACTTTCTAACTCCTGGCAAATACATACATATATGGTCTGAATTGATCAATATTTACAAAAAAAAAAGAGAAAAAACATTTGTATTCGATTGTGATAGAGAAGTCGTCTTCTCATTATTGTGTTTCAAATCGAAAGCTCTATTGATATAATCATATTTATTGACAGAGTCATTTATGGATAGATCTTTACGGAGGTAAAAAAAAAACAAAAAAGTTCGAAACGAAAATATTCCTATTCCTTCAAGGGTAGGCACCCTCTTCTTGGTTTGTTCGGGAACACTTTTGTTTACACTCCTCTTCGGTTTCGAAATTGTTATCATTGCCTCGGCATCCACCATAGATGAACGTTATACATTTATTTTCGGTTGTGGAATATCCGAATCTGAAATGGTTGGCGGGATAGTCATCCTACACAAGGGGAAGCTGCGAATTTTCCTGCCGCTCACTGAGCACGACCTCACCTTCTGAATGCTGCTCGACATGGTCCAACTTCGAGGTCTAATTTACAGATATCATCCAGTGCGGAGGCTGAAAATAAATGTTCTCTCTAATTTTCACAAATCGCTATACTATACTCCATCATTTGATAATTATTATTTTTAACATTTTTTAATCCATCAATAGAAATAACAAGTAAAAATAAGTAAATAATGATAAGAGGATAAAGAATATAACCAGATAAAATAAACAATGAATTACATATGCACAATGCTAAAACTCCGCTCACCTGTTGTCAGCAGGGTGAATAGAACGACCACAGCAATCATCATTCTGACGCTCAGACTCTCTGCAACCTCTGTATGTACAGCAAGTAAGCCAGGTAGACAAAAAATTGTCAAATTGCTAGTCCAACGAATGTTCACGGTGAAAGCTTTGGTCACGTGGCTAGAGAACGTGGCAGTCACTTGTTTAGAGGACAAAAGCTGAACGTACAATTCACTTATATATGGATGAGCGTGGGAAAGTGTGTTCAGTGGAGTTCCCTATGAGAGACTAAAGAATGTTGTCACTGTAGCGGTTATCATATGACGTACTGGGAGACTTTTTTCTTGTTGTTTGGTTCAAGCAGCAGTTATCAAATAAAATGTATGTAAAGGGAAATCCGATCTGTGGTATGCCTTGATTCCATTGATTTTGCTTGATTTAAGCTTATAATCTAGGC